CGTCCCCTGCAGCAGGATGTCCTTGGGGCAAGGCCAGGTTTTAATTGCTGCAGCAGCATCAGACACCCGAGTCATGGTCGCCCTCAGTGCTTCTGCTCCCAGCCTGCCTCCTGCAGCTACTGGGAATGGTCCTTGAGCTACCGGGAGCAGTGATGCCCCCAACACACTCCAGTGGAGCTGCAGGACTCCCCACATGCCCTGGCTTTCTCTCCAGACAGGAGCTGGGGGCAGTTTGGCTGATCTGAGCTCCTAGGAGGGCTCTGTGCCCTGCCTCTGCCTGCTTCTCTGTCTGTCCTGCCACATCAACCCACGTCTGCTGGTATCTGCACTGCTGTGCTGCCCTGTGTCTGTTTAGGTGCCTCCTTGCCCCTGTTTGTGCTTGGCTGTCTGTCCCTCTGTCTGACACCTGCCACTGCAAACGCTGCCTGCCCCCTCTCCATTTGCCTGTCCATCATTGCTAGATTTTCTTCCCCCCACCCTTTTCCTGCGGCCACTGTCTGGAGGCCTCTGCATTAGGTGTGACTTGGGGACTGATTTTCTCTGCTTTATGGATGGCAGCCAGACTGCAATCTGCAGTGAAGGGACTATCCAGCTGGAGAAGCTCTGCAAGGAGCCTCCTGCAAATACCTAGGCAGGACGCTCGCTGCCAGCACTGCCCAGAAACTGCACAATCACGCTTGCCTCCACAGCACCACCAGCCAGAGATTTAAAGGGAGCTGAAATCTCTTGCAATGGGATTTGGGCAACTGCATGCCTCCAAAAGCAGATCCTTCGAGCTTGAATTCCCTGGTTGCTTATGCCTGCACAGCTGGGGGTGAGGGTGGGGATGTGGAGGAGACACAGCTTGTGTAGATGTGGGGCTAGATGTGAAAGGGACATGTGTGTGCGTGCGCACGTGTGTGTGCATGACTACATGTGCTGCTCCACATCACAGCTGTCTTTGGATGCAGACCTCGTGCTTGCATTTTTTGCACCCTGACAACGTGGCAACACGCCTCTTGTGTTTGCTTGTTTGTGTTGCATCAGTCTCCTTCCAGGGGTGTTAGCAGTGGCTTTCCGTGTCAGTTTGCCATGCCTTTAATGCTGCCCTCAGCCAGCACTGTCAGTCTGTACCATCCCAGGTTGCCCGTGGAGTTGGGTTGCTGTGCACATGCAGCTGTGTGTGACCCCACAGCCTGAGTCCATTTGACACCCAGCTGCCACAACAGACAGGATCAGGCCCTTGCCCTCCTCATGGCAGCACACTGGGTACCCTGCTGCACACTCCCCGGGCATCATGGGCCCCTCAGCCAGCCTGGGTCTTCAGCCCCGTTTGGGGCAGCACGGCCGCAAGTCCACGTAGTGAGCAAGCAGCTGGAGCCAAGATTTTGTAGAATTAGCAAAACCCCACTGCACAGCCAGCTTGCAAAAACTCAGCACTCGAATGTCACCTGGGATCAGGTTCTGCTGGAGCAGAATATGACTTTTCATATCAACTTTCACGGTGCCAGCCCTTTTTGTAGAGCCCAGCCAGGGGGTGTGGGAGGAGGTGAGGAGAGGGCAGGCCATCCTGCATGCCTCCGCTCCTTCCTGGGGCGCCTTGGGACACAAACCCCCAGGAAGA